TTATTCCAAGAGAGCAGCAAGCCTAGTAATCTCTTCCTTTGGTGCATCTACCTCCTCTCGATGATTCTCGCTCGAGTAGAGCTCTTTCTTTATCTTCATCTTTTTTCTTGATCTAGTGTGGTGCATGCGTGAGGGAAGTGTAGTTTTGGCGAGTTGACCTATGTTTCTATTTAAGCAAAAGACAACAAACACAAGATGTAAACAATAGGTTAAAGATAAAATAACGATCGAGACTCGGATATGGAATAGCCTTCACTTGAAAGGTGATAAAAGAACTTTGTTGATGGCTTAAGACTCGTTTTGAATTAGTTTGAAGGTAAACGGTGGTTTCACGAGTAACCTTTGAGACTTTCCCTAAAGATTGTACTTTGTGGTTAATTGATTTAGAGAAGAGATCTCATTAATAATCCTTCATCTTATTTTCTTCAAAGAGTGAATCCTATTATGAGAGAAAAAGATCTCATCATAGATGTTCCTAAATCTAAGGAGATCACTCTCTTGTAGGTGTTCTATTTGAAATAAGCCATTTTTCATCCAAGGATAGAGACATTCAGGCAGGGATTAACGAATTCAATGGAATTATTATCATCAAAAATATTCTCAATGGATTATCATATCTTTTGAGAGGAAAAAAAATATCATCCATGGAAAAAAATGCCACGACTTTTATTAATCAAAAAAGGAAATTCAAGTGAAATTTTTATTCCATTCGTAGTACATGTAAAATAAAAATGCCCTCAAAAGAGAAAGAATCACAAGAAAACATTTAAGCTATACATCACACTCCAAAAGCCCTTCCTCTTCCGGCTACCTCAAACAGCAAGTCATCACATCTCCTCAAGTATATCATAAATGACTGACGGAGGTTACGCGTCATGCCTTCATAGACCTTTCTACTAAAATTTTACAAAGTTATAACCTCTCGAGTAACCACATTAGCTTGATTATTCATCCTAATCAGACTTTCATTATGTTTATCACATATTTCTAATAGGTGGTTATGCATGTTGCACCAATATACGATTTGTCTATGCTTGGTCTACGTCTAACTCGTTGGTTATCGCTTACCAATGAAGTAATCCTCCTTTAAGCCTCTTCAAGTTGTTTTGCTAATTCTTTCTTATTGTTACATTCCTCAAGAGATTTTACCAAATTGTCATTCTTCTTCGAAGCTCTTTTACATTAGTTTTCCCGAAACCCACCTCATAGCTAACTTGATCATATTGTCATTGTAGATCATTAAAGTCGAGGGACTTTGAGTACATTTCTATTTGGAATTGGCGGTAGAGGGTCTTTCGGTTATCCTATTTAGTCGCTATGTCTTGCCATGTTTGAAGCTCGCCTCTACTCCCATCATTCTATTCTCAACCCTTTTTTTTCCTCGATTAACTTATTTGTTGTTTTCGGTCTTTCGACTTTTAGGCGTTCAATATCCTCTTTCATTCCATCTTCAATAAACTTGACTTTGATAATGTCATTTTCTACCCTTCTTCTTTCCCCAAGGCTTTGGCTTGGAATTTCCTTGGAGGACACTTGAGAGAAGCCATAGTTTGATGAAACCATCGAAGGGGGTATCTTAGGTTGAGCTAGGTAGGTAGAGATTTATAATTTTTTATCCTTGTCGATTGCCAAATAGGATACCTTACGGTGGTAGTTGTCTCCCGCCAATTATTTTTTGATGTACCATTTTTAGCATTGACCATTCTTCCTTGATGACTTCCAAGAATTTAGGTGAAGTATCACTTTTCAAACTCCCTTCAAACATAGCAAGACCATTTGTCCTTGGCATGCATTGCTCATAACCCAATTGACAGGATACCATGGTAGATGCATAGCTCGTGTAACCTGTCACCTCAACAAGAGAAACCCATAGGTGTCTTCCATAATAATCGGATAAAAGGTCCGATTCATCCATACTCGCCATCCACGGAATTGTGGTGGTTGGCATCTCAAGTAACGTGGTCACCCATCTATGCTCCGAATAGTTTTTCTAAATTACGACGATAACCTCTTTTAATGGTTCTTGATTTGTCCACCATGCCGACTTGAAGATGGACTTATGGGCTTCCATATGATTGACAATCCAAATAAAGAGCAATTGTATACAACCCCTCATAACACCTTTACCCATTTGCGATAACTATTCAAAGACAAGATGGTTTCTGCTAGTACTACCGTAGTAGGATTCATGTTATTCTTTTTAACCTCTATGAATACGTTGGCTACATCCAAGCTGATTACCCCAATGATTGATGGAAATAATATTAGCCTAGAGATGCCGAGGGATAGGATTTTGACCCTTTTAAAACTATCTCTTAGATATTTCAAGCTCCGCTTAAATGCTTGGTGTCATTTTTCCTAGTGCCACCCTTTGATTGTGCCTTTTACCTATTCGCGGATTCGTATTTTCATTCAACCAAGTTTGAACCACCGTGAGCAACCTCATCATTACGAAGTTATAGGTATACTAAATATGGAGAATTTGGCATCTAAAGCGAGTTGGTGATACTCTTCAAGAGTGGGGGTCATATCAATATTTTTGAGAGTAAAACATTAATAGAAAGGGTCATACAATCGGATTAACGCCTTGATCGGCAACTTCTAAATAGGGATCTCAATTAGAATAGCTAAATTTCCATACTTTTGTTGATTTGTGGGTATCAATTGGTTCCAGCACTCTAGAAGCTTGGTAGAATCATTGATAACTGTCTAGATGCGCACCACATCTTGAAGGTTACTCTAAAACCCTTATGTCAAACAATCACCTTCTTTCGACTAATAAGCCTTGGACTTCTTTTGGTGTTCAAAAGCCATCTTAAAATACATATCGATCCTTTTATCATCCATCCCGAAACATCGGGACCAAATTGTTTCGATCAAGGTTTTATTAAAGTTTGACTTGCCCATTACATTTACAAGGTAAAACCACTAGGGTCTAGTTCTTAGTCATTACGTGAGCGAGGACATGCTCTATTTAAGTATCATAAGGTTCCCTTCCAACCCGTCGAGTCATGATAAAATCGTTAAGGCCGCTAAAGACAATGATTGGTAAGCATAAAAAATTATCGATTACCAATCGCTTGTTAGTGACTAGGAAGAAGAGTTGAGATTTCATGAGTGTTTACCTAAAGCGAAACCTATCGAGACACCACTAATACCTCCCTAAATCCTAAGGCAAGTCTCGTGATAAACATATAAAATAAACGTGAGTGTAGTGTATGCATGGACATTATTCCATATCCAATCCTAAAAAATAAAAATAAAGATACAAATAGAGATGCAAAAATAAAATAAAATAAAATAAAAATACAAGGCGAATAATAAAATAAAGGAATGAATGTAAACAAGACGAGTTAAATTACAAAAATAGGCTTATAGGCATAAAAATCCATCACATCTTAAGAAATCAAATTCAAAAATTGTATGCAAAGCCTAACCCTAAGTATATCCCTAGTAGAGTCGTCATTCTATCGCATGGTGACGTGTTGAGGCAAAATAAGAAAAAATAGACAAAAATAATTGGAGTCATCACCTTATATCATGGTCATCGGGAAACCCTATGACTAGTATGTTCGAGTTCCGAATAAGAGATTTATTATGTGTCGGGAAGATTAAAAATCACCAAACCATTTATTGCCGAAGGCAAGCTACATTGCATACAATACTCGGTTTGATTTCTAATTTTCAATTGGTGAAAGACTATGCCTATTTTCAAATATTTGCCCCCTAGTAGAGTGATTCGGGACTTGGCCGATTAGAAACCTTATCCTTACTCAGTAACGGATGATTAAAAAAGCAATGACTACAAAAATAAATATCACATGTGACAACGAAACTCAAAACAAGCAAATAGGCGAACAAAAAAAAAGGCAATTCGATAAAATAAAATAATAAATAAATAAAAATAAAAATAGTCATATAGATAAAAATTGATAAGTAGGCAAAATTGACGAAAAGGCAAAAATATGCGGACTTGACAAAAATGGGTAAACATGCAAATAATGGCAAAAATTGGTAAAAATTAATAAAAATCGACGAGTTAGGTAAAAGTAGGCTAAAATGGGCAAAAATTGACAATTAGGGAAAAAATAGGCTAAAATAGGAGAAAACAAATAGGCAAAAATCGATAATTGTGCAAAAATAAGGCAAGAATCGATAATTTAAGCAAGAAATTGGTAAAAATCAGTACGTTTAGGCGAATATAGGAAAAATCGACAATTTAGGCAAACATTGACGAAAGTCGGCAATATGGGCATACGTAGGCAAAAATCAATAACTAAGCAAAATCGACAACTAAGCTAAAAATCGACAAAAATTGACAATCGAATTAAAAATTGACAAAAGATAAAAAATTGACAAAATTAATTATCACAACAAGCATGATTGATTGTGTTTGAAAAAAAAATAAGTTCACCCAATAAAATCCAAATTTTCTTGATTTAATGTTATGTTTTTGTTGTGATAAACTTGCATGTAATTAATTTAATGTCATTATTGATAAAACGATCTTAGAAAAGCAATTTGAGCCAATATGACTCAAAAATCATTTTTTTTTAATGATAGATCAACACATTTTCATTAATTATCATAATTGACCAAAAATTATCCGAACTCAAGATTCGAGCCAACGCATTTTAAAAATATACCGAACAATGATGGACATCCAAATACGTCCCAACTAGCACCTCATTCATCTATCAAACTCAACAACTACTTACTTTAAACGTACATCACCGCAATTCATATAAGTCATACATGAGCAACAAATTGAATTAATTATGTCACTCAACCATTCGATTAATTTGTAGGCAATGAATCAAATTTAATATATGTTAAAAAATAAAATAAAGTTAAAGTTAAAAATAAATTATTGTAAATAGGAGGTAGATTAGTTTGTTGAATTGGGATCCGCTCCAACCCTTTTCAACTCCAATAGAGACCGATATTCGATCAATCAAAAAGGAAAGACAAATAAGAGCAATTACTCGTCAAATCTGAAGGGGTCATTGCATGGGATTTGAGGCGTGGGCGTGATGCCCGCCGGGTTATGTATGAGTGGATTGTGGCCGACGCACGCATAGGTGTGCGAGGATGGAAAAGGCATACGGGTGAGGCTCGATGTATGAGTTGTGGGGGTCCTAATAGGCACGCGAGGGTTATGGTCGTGCACGGATGGGCGCGGACGTGTGAGGAGAGGATTGCTATGTACGAGCACACAAAGGGCGGCTTGCATTTGGGGGTTAGGTGAGGTAATGGCTGCGTGTTGGGTCCGGACGAGACGGACGTTACTCGTTAGGGTTTGGCAAGGTAGGTTGCACACCGGGGTTGGACAAGGCAAGCTCGCTGGATGCTAGGACGGTTTCGACGGAGGGGCTATTGGCGTGGGTAAGTGCTCGCTAGCGTGGTGTGCTCGGGCAAGGCGAGCTACTGCGTGGTGGGGTGTGGGTCGGTGGAGGTGCTCGGGCGAGAGTGAGGCTAATACAAGGGGTTAGGCGTGTGTAGGGGGCCGATGTGTGAAGGTCGACGACTAAGGTAAGTTTTTAAAGATGATGAATAGTAATTGGCCTTTTCGCAAGAAGAGGGGCTTTTACATTGGATTTTTAGGATTTTTTGGTCAAATTTTGGTTTCGTACTTCATTTCAAAAACCTACTTTATTTCAATCATTTTCTCCTTTCCTTTTTAATTGCATCTCCAATTGTGTTTATTTATTATTTTTTTCTCCCTTTTCTTTTCTCTTCTTTTATTATTATTTTTTTGTTTGACCCTTTTTTGGGAAAAAAAATGAGTGCTAATAGTCTACAAGTTGGATCTTTCAAGAAAGTATAATATGACTATAACTTTTAATATATATGATCTTTCTCTATTTAATTTTGGTGTGATACGAGGATAAATCCTTTCGAAGAGAGGGAGAATGATGAGAACCAAGTCGTTGGCCCATTGAGCATCCAAAAAGGCCCAATTACAAGGGCTAGTGCCAAGGCTAAGAAGATTAAAGAGGCTTTGAATGGGTGGATTAAAGACATATGGGTCGCTCAAGCCTCCAATGGGTGGGAAAACACATCAATGGGTCCGGTGAACATTATCCATACTTGGTCCAAGGCTAGTGAATGACTTTTGGGTTGAGACCGATTTATCATGTTTCACCCGAGACATGATGCTACCGATTGAGTAAAGTTGCTAGCTGAATTAGTTATGCAACTTTATGGTTGTTGCTTTAGTTTTTGGACTTGAATTATATTTGTACTTTTTAATTCAGTTGTCAAATTTGAAGAGACTTGAATCAATACTTGTTTAATTATATTTGCTAAATCCTATGTTAAAAATTGAAGTCTAATCTATTACTTTGTTGAAAACTAGGTTGAACCTTTAATTCTAGTATAAGTTCAATTCGAGCAACCTATACTTAGGCACTTATCTTATAACTTTAGAAGAATATTTAGGAATAAAAAAAATATTACGAAGAAAATTTTTGTCTTTTAGTTATTCCAAGAACTATTTGAACTTATCAAGAATTTTGTGTTCTTATGGTGTTCACATAAACTTATCACTCCTATCCTTCCTTCTTCTTCTTTTCTAAAGTGTGGCATTTAATATTATTCTTTATAGAACGATTTAGTTTTCATCAAGTTCAAATCTTATTGTCTATGGATCCTCCAACCAACGAGCTATGCGAGTTCACAACGATTATGGTAACAAAGAAAGGTCGTTTTGATGGGTTTTTCTTAGTTCTTGACCGGTAGCTTAAGGAGGTTTTGGGTTATTTTGTGTGGCTTAGGTTATGGTAGCCATGGATGATGAGTGAGAGGTTTGGTATGGTGGTTGATGGCGAAGTTTTTGGGAGAGATGAATGGAGAGAGTTTTCTTCTCTCTATGTTTTTTTCTCTCATAGAAAAGATGAATAAAATGGCATCCTCTTCTTTTATGAGAGAGAAAGTAATGCTTTTATAGTCGGGGTTAGTTAGTGTTTTGAGAATTTTTATATTGGTCTTATCTTTTTTCACATTTTACACATTATCACTTGTTTCTTTATTTCTTTGTATTTTCAATTGGCGAGTTTTCAATTGAACCCCTAATTTAATTATTTTTTGGTCCAATTTCTCTTATTTAATCAATTGGATCCAAAATTAACAATTTTCAACTTTTTTCCTCTTTTGTTTATCTTTTCTCTCTTTTTTTCTCTTTACTTGTCTTATTTTTTTCTCTTTTATTAATTTTTTATGAACTTCCAAATATCATGGGATCCCTAAAAAATCTAACTCTAGGATAAAAATTGCACAATCAAGCAAATTAAACAAAACACATTAAATTTTCATATTTATTTTTTAAGAAAAATATGTCAAATAAAGGGGGTCAAAAATTGGGTGATAACACAATAAAACTTGTTTTTTTTATTAGGAAAAAATACTCAAGAATTACAAGAGTTAATAATATGAATTTTCATGAAAATTACGAGTCTTAGCAAAGAATATGCAACCGAGCTATCATTCTTGTCTACTTCTTCCATATGACATATGATGTGGTCGGTAGCAACTTAGTAAACATGTAAATTTGAACTCTTTTTCCCCTAACTTAATTAGGTCATGGAAAATAACATTTAATTGGTTGTTGTTGTGATTTTTGTGTTATGGTATGGGATTTTCTTTAACATCATTTTCATCATCAAAAACTATTTTTCCTTTATTTAGCTTGTTATGAAATAAAAATCTCAAGCTACGATAGTTTTTTGTTGAATGGGCAACGTATCTATGGTACCGATAATACCTTAGATTTTTTTATCTTCTTAGGATAAGAGCTTTTTCACCCACGAAGGGTAACAACTTGATCGACCACCCACCAGTCTAATAGAGCATATAAAATGTCCACGAGTGTGAGGAAAAAAGTTCAGATGGATTTGATTGCATATTCGCTCCTCTTGTTCTTTTATTAGGTTGGTCATCTATTTGGATGACATTTATTGAAGGACCCCTCTTGGCACCAATAATAGCGAAGTGAAGTCATTTTTTTATTAGAAATAACAATGAATTTATTAGTTCGTCGAATGCTTTCCATGAAGGTAGAAAAAGTAATCAAGCTTAAATTCTCAAGATGTATCATGTATTCTCTATACATGTCTTGAATATATAGCTTGACAACTTCTTTCTCATCAAAACCCTCTTGGATATTCAAGGTATAGTCTCTAAATTGGTTAATGTATTCTAACAAATTATCTCTATAATTAAGACATTTTCTTCTTAAGTTGGACATGGTCACCTTGCACTAACGGAGAAAAAATTTTTAGTAAATAGTTTACTCATGCTTTCCCAAGTCTAAACCGAACCAAAGGCTTGGTTTATATACCATGTATATTTCTTCTCATCTAGGGACTTAGTAAATTCTTTTAACTTCAAATCATCATCTAAGCTATAAACACCAAGATCTCTATAAACTTCATAAGATACTCATTGGTGCCTCTTTTTTTCTATTGAAAATTTTAAACTTGGGGCTTATATAGTCTTTTAGGTAAGGCCCCATTGCAATGTAAGATTGGTAAGGATGTTTAAGATCAAACTCGTTTTTTTTTTTTTTAATTTTTGTTTACAAAATTATTCCAAGTCATGTTGAGTAAGATAGTGGTATTGACCACTGAAAGCAATAACAAAATGAGGTGGTTGGTGGTCATACACGGTTGCATGATAGTTGTTTGATGGAGAAATGTCTTTCCTATCATCCGGTTAAACATACAATATGGGATGATGATCAACATTAATAGTTGGTGATGTCATAGTTTGAGGAACAACAATCTGGATTAATTCACATGTAGATAGTAGTTGTGTGATATTATTAAATGCTTGAGTAAATACAATATTATTACTTTAAAGGACTTTGAATATTTGTTGTTATTCCTACCGTAGTATGACATGAGCATTCGAAAAACCTTCAAGACTTTAAACATGGCCTAAAGACCTAAATTTGGAATAGCTATGGCAGAGGCTCGAGCAACGAGTCGGGATCGGCCATCTCCCGATGGTACTAGCAAGTGATAGCAAGCTATCATTGTCGATTTAATGGTTTGAAGGGTTGTTGACATTCTCGGTATTAAGCAAATTGGAGTTATTAGTACTGTGATTAGTATCATACAGGACATCACCATTGTTATAGGTAATTGAGTTGGTAACATGATTGATGTTTTCCTTAGTTATCTTAGAAGAAGCCATTGTTTTCACAATCACTAACTCCCCATAGGAGTTATAAAAAATGTATAAGGGGATCTTAAAAACTAATTGGATAATCAATCGATAGATCGGTCCGGATATAGAGAGCAAGTGTTATGACTTATAAAAGCGAGTGGTCAAATAACCGAGTAAAAAGGATGCAAATAGTAAGAGACGTAGGAGGAGAAGTATGCAATGCTAACAAGGCACGAGTCAAGTGACCGACAAGTAGGTGGTCAAAGTTCAAACGTGTAAAGCTCTCGGTGTTATCCGAGTGTATGAATGGAAGAGCTTTGAGATGGAGAGCTCAATGACTTCTTTTGCTAGAGATCGAAAATTTTAAAATCGAAGTTCTCTAATATAAAAGTTTTGATCTCCTCATAATGATATGAGATTGATATTTATAGTAAAAAAAGATGGGCCTTGACTCCTAGTAACATGTCACATCATCTAAGTTTAGACGAGTCAAATTTGACTTGAAAGATTTATGCTCTTTATGGTAAACCGTTTTAATTTGCTAACAAAAGTTAAAGGACGTAACAATTGATCCTTCCTTTAGCGAGCCTTGCTCTAAGCTCACCAAGCCCATCTCACTAAAGCATCTTAAAAATAAGGCATAAACATTAGTCATGTCGGAAAACCTATAACAATCCTTATAACCCTTGACTTTGCGATAAATGAGATTCATTCTCAATTCAATATATTTATAGTGTAGTTTGAACACATGTAAAAAAAAACTTAAGAAAATAATATAAATTAACACATAATAAAAATTAGCTAAATCACCTATTTATTTTTAAAGCAAAACGAGCATATACAATTTTTAATCAAATACTTTAAACTAAATCAATGTGAAAGTATTAAAACTTTTTCCTGCCGTTCACAGCACAGCTGATGAGGCGGTCGCAATTAAATGAGACGCGGGTCAAATAAATGCTGAAGTTATGTTTTCTCTAAGATACAATATTTACAATGCAGGGTACCAAATGCAAGTGCTGCCGGCAGATCTTAATGTCAGTAAATCTCTCTGCTCAAGTCTGAATTTGTCGAAG